TGCCAGTACTTCCTTTTATTGATAAATTTACAGCAAAATACATGGTTTTCCTGTCGCCAATGTATCGCACTGAACGGGTACATCGTTAGGCATTGTCACTATATATTTGTAAACATGGGCCAATATGGCTATAAACAGTCTGCGAACCAAAATTAAATTAGCTATATACACATATAATAGACCATGATATAAACTAAATAATAATATCACAATTAATGGCCAATATCTTTGTACAACAATTTTACAAAATCATAATAGATAGCAAACACCAGTATCTTGTCAGATTTGTTGATTAGTTGGCACCCAGACAGATCCAAGTGACAAGGCATCTACGCCCTATGCCTCTTCGCTGTCTATTTTAGGTGCCTTACAAGTCCGTTTTTTTTGCATATCAAATATTACACATTCTACAGAAAATTAGGGTCACTGGATAACACGAGTGCGTGCGTCATGTCTTTTTAGAAATTTTAAAAACTTGTTCTCGGCCTTTTTTTTTTTTGAGTTTATTGTTTCTTCTTTTTTTAAAAATGTGGGGAAACATAGAGAGAGGGGTTAACGCACTCTCATGGCGCGTGTGTGTCGGTGATTTCAAGATATGAACACTCCTATGTACAATGAACACTGGGATTAACACATATATTTACATACCATTACATCGCCTCGGTGAATGTGTGGGGAATGATCGGGATGAAATGACTGAGCTTTGTGGAATGTGTTTTATCATGAGGAGGATGAGGAGGCGGAGGGCGCGGCCGCTTCCTCGGCGGGATGGGCGGGCGAGGCAAGTGGCGAGGCTTCGCAAGGGCGGCCGGGCTACACCTGCGACGTGGCCTCCGCCCGGTAGTAAGGCGGCAAGGAGGGGGCGGCGAGGGGCCCCGAGGAGAGGGGGGAGGGGGAGGCCGAAGAGGAGAGGGGGGAGGTGAGGGGCGAGGAGGGCAGGGAGGCCGTGACGGTGAGGGAGGAGCCGGCCAGGGTCGAGCCGCCGGACATGGAGCAGGCCAGGGACCGCAGGACGTCCGGTCGCAGAGCCTCCGGCCGCAGGGTTTCGGAGCGGAGGTCCTGGCGCAGGATCTCGTGTCGGAGGGCGTCGTGGCGGAGCTCAGGGCGGATCGCTTCGGGTCTGATGGCTTCCGGTCTGAGCGCCTCGGGTCTGAGGGCGTCGCGCAGGGGGTCCGAGGCGGGCACGGGCGGCAGGATGGGCAGGCCGGGCGGGTACAGGCGATAGGCCAAGGGCTTCTGGAGGGCGGCGGCGGCGGCGGCTTGGCGGTAATACAGGTCCACGGAGGCGGCGGCGGGGCTGAGCGCGGCGGCGGCAGCGGCGGCGGCGGCGGCTGAGGACGGCTGGGGCGGGTACGGCCACCCGTACGGGGCGCTGTAGAGACGCTGTACGGCGGCGTAGTTGCCAGCCTCGGCAAGCAATTCCAGGCCTACGGCTGTCTGGCGCTTCCACTTTGTCCTGGGGAAGAGTGGAGAGATCTGTTAGCGACGTGTGTCGACGCTGTCACCCGAAAATAGATATATGCAATCGCGTGTTTCCTGCATGGATTTCATGACTATACACTTGATTCTTTCTGCGAGTGCTTACCTTCTGTTCTGGTACCACGTCTTGACCTGCGTGTCGGTGAGGTTGAGCTTGGCCGCCAGCTCCATGCGGTCCTGCACGCTCAGGTACTTCTGCCGCTCGAAGCTCTTCTCCAGCGTCTGCAGCTGGTTGTCTGTGAAGGCGGTGCGGGCTTTGCGCTGCTTCTTGAGCGGCGGGGGCCCGGAGCCGTCGGAGCATCCCTCATTGTTCTCTGTTGACAAAAAAATACACATCGTTAGTACACCATTTTCTCTCTAAGTCATCAAGCTTATCAATATAAAATGTAAATACGAATTTCCCCTCCATCATCTGCGCTCACTTCCTCCTTCCTCTCGCGAGGGGGAGGAGGGCAGTGTTGCCAGCGCCGAGGGAGGACAGGCGGCGACGCGACGGCCGCGGAAGAAGGCAAATGGACCCCTTCACTGATCCTTTTAGCACGGGTGTCAACGGCTCGGCCGAGGAGGGGGAGGGGGAGGGGGGCGAGGCAGGGAGAGGAAAGCGGGAGGCCTGTGAGAGAGAAGGGGGTGGAGGGAGAGACAAAGATAAACATAAATATATTTAGATGGAAATATATGCAGAGAGAGAGACAGACAGAGAGAGAAAGAGAGAGAGAGAGAGAGAGAGAGAGAGAGAGAGAGAGAGAGAGAGAGAGAGAGAGAGAGAGAGAGAGAGAGAGAGAACAAGAAACCGTTACCGACGATTCTTGCGAAGAAGCCCATTGTGGTTTCACAGCAGTCCCTAAAAGAAGCAATTACATCAGCCCAGTTCGCGGAAAGGACATACAAATACACGCGAAAACTTTCAGCAACAACACACTGCCCAAAGGCCCTCTCGCCAAGCCATTCCCCCGCCCTCCCCCTCCGCCCACCACTGCACGTGTGGGTTAATCCATAAGCCGGAACCACAGTTAGCTCTGCTTCTCCCGTCCCTCCCCACTGTGGCAAATATCCTCCCCTCCCCCCCTTCTTTCCTCAACAACCCCCCCGGCGCGATTTTATTCCATTTCCGAAATAGATCAGCGGACTAATACCATTCCCATATTGGGCCGACCATATCCTACTTAAGCGACAACTATAAACCACTTAAGCGCCAACTACTGCCACATCCCCCATTACTGTCCCATCTCCATTAGTGACGCTCATCTGCGGGCCTCAGTGTTGCCACGTGCCAGCCCTCGACGAAATCCCTTTTCTATCGGTCGATCGCACGAGAGAAGGGGGGAAAAAAACACGAATTCAACTTCGGGATCGAAATCATAGCCAAGGGGAGGATGAGGCGGTTTGCGAACGTTTCCTAGGTCTTTTAATTTCTTCTTCCATTTTTTTTCTTCGATTTTAGAAAACAAAGACAAGGCAGATCTTCCTCTTGCCTCAAAGGTGCCCGCTCTGTCATTGCGACGCGAGAGTGCGATCATAAACTGGCAACAGTGGCGGCCGCGGCTTCGGCAAAGCCCAGGCGTATCTCATACATTGTTATTCACGACCCCTCTAAATATTAATGCCTTATTTATCCGCGAGTAAACATGTACTTACGATCGACAAGCATGCAAAATGGTTCTTGTGTGGTTCGGGCGACCGAGCCGACCCTGCTGGAAACAGGGACGGCGCTTGGGCGCTACATATAGCCTACGGGGCTACAAATATACACATATATTTATAGAAAAAAATATCTTTGTCAAAATATATCAGCATTGTATACTTTGCATATACATGCATACATACACCTTCTTAAATATATATATATATATATATATATATATATATATATATATATATATATATATATATATATATATATATATGTTCATCTGTTGAGTAGTATTTTCATAGATACAGCTTTCCCGCCCAGATCAAGCAGTGCCCGGCGGGCGCGTGTCGACGCCGCCGCCGAGATATCCCTCGAGGATGAAGCCCCCGAACCGCCTCCCGCCGGAAGCCCGCCGGAGTCGCTAAACGCGTCAACCGCCAGTAAGGCGACGCTTCGGAGGGAGAGGGAGAGGCAGGGAGGGGAAAGGGAGGGAGCGGAAGGCCGGAAGTTGTCTTAATTGATTATGAAGACCCTGCGGTCTCCCGACCTACCATACAATCAATTAAATTCCACTGACGCCTTATAAGGCTTCGCTCTGATATATCGTGACCCACGCGAGGGGAGAGACGCAGAAGTAAACACACACACACACACACACACACACACACACACACACACACACACACACACACACACACACAAATTTCCTCTCTCAACACTCGCTGTGGGCGCGCGTCCGAGGCCGTTCATATTGACGCAAAATTCCGGCCAATGGGACAGAGAAAATCACGAGGATGAAGTCGCGAGTTTCTTACGCCTTTGTAGTGTTGGTTTTATTTCACTCCTCCAAGATTACGGTCGTTATCAAAGGCATTAAATCACGCGATACGAGGATTTTAAAATACTAATCACGGAAATGTGGATAAATCCTTTGTCATTCGTGAGGATTCTGGTCGGCGGAAAATCAGATCAAATGGCCTTTTCCTAAGTCTTAATACAAGATCGATAACTTTATATAAAAAAGGAGATAACAGCGGTTTTGACAGTGACAGATCTATTGGCAAGGATTAAATGTCTAATGGTTAATAATCATCAGCTGATAATCTGTTGACAAAGAGAGAGAGAGAGAGAGAGAGAGAGAGAGAGAGAGAGAGAGAGAGAGAGAGAGAGAGAGAGAGAGAGAGAGAGAGAGAGAGAGAGAGACACGCAGACAGACAGACCAAATATTTAAAAAAAACGAAGGAGAACGAAAAGTCAAGAGTAAAATAACGTACTTGATCGCTCCCATAACCATTAGCTTTAAATCGAATGCAAAATGCTTATTCATTTTCCTTCATTGCTGTTTTGGGATATCAAAAGAAGGGGATAATTTTCTAGAAAGCAAGAACCAGTTTATAGTGTCTGGAATCAATCAATTTTCAAAGACGTTTTAACTGTATCATATATAAACATTTTTTCTCGTTTTCAACAAGCATTCTGAGTTCTATATTTATCATGGGTGATTCTATAATTAAGCGAATTAATCCAGCAAAGCGTACGACGGTTCGCGTGGGCGTTAATACTCAGATACTAAATACAGCAAAACGTTTACACACGCTATCACACACACATTTATAAACTCATACACATATCACCCTCCCTCCCTCCCTCCCTCCCTCCCTCCCTCCCCCCTTCACACAAAGACAAAGACACACACACACACACACATACACATACACACACACACACACACACACACACACACACACACACACACACACACACACACACACACACACACACACACACACACACACACACTTACATACAAACACTCATACACTCTCATGTGACTTTGAAATTCCAGCATGGATTACAAATTTGAAAAAAAGAGGGGAAAAAAAGAGGATTTGCCTTTTAAAACAACCCTTTACTTACCGACACGCAACCCACACTCCTATTTACGACTCATGTTTGTACCATTAGTTTGATTGTGGGACCTATTCATACCATAGTTTGCATTCTTTCGATAAACGTTATTCTTAGGGACTTTCTCGTTCTGATGAGCTGGAGTTTTCTTTATCTATTGAACTAATGAAGAGATTTCTTTGTTTTGCAGAAATAGCTTTTGTCTAAAGTACTAATAATATAAGCTCTCGGTATCGAAGAAAAATGCTTGTTTTATCTATTATATTTTTCTATATATATATTTCAGGTTGGACGATTGAGGGAAAGTGCGAAATACAATAATAAATATGTAGAGCTCGAAATAAAAGCAAAAAGAAAACAAAGGAAAGTGAACTCTAGTGACTTTATAGTATAATTAATACCCGAGTAGAGTTACTGCGCGATAGCTTTATATGTGTTTGAAATTATGATCAAAAACACCTGGTTACACAATATCAAAGTGACTATAATTTTTAAGCGAGTCTTTTTTTTCTATAATGAAAACATAGCACGTAGTGTAAATTATCTTGATATCAAAATACCTAGTCCATGTATATTTTACACAAGTCTAATATTTGTGAGTCTCAAATCTAACATGCTGTGGGTGTGGTGCACTGCAATGGATGGCGTATCTGTGTTGTGTCGAAAATAATGTCGTAACTCATGCTTTGTTGTTATTGTTGTTGCTGTTGTTTTGGGAATACTATAAGCCCGGTATCCCTTGCGCCCCTGGCACTCAGGATATAGAGGTACTGAGTGCCAATATGCTAAGAATGGTGACAGATTATCGACCTGATCGGCGACACGTAATGACTGACTCGCGTTGCCCCGACATCTGACCTGGGGTGAGGGGAGAGGAGGGGGGGAGGGGGTCAGGCCCTTGATCAATCCCTGAGGGTGAAACAGCAGATTTGATTTTATGTGACAGGGACAAGGGGGAAGGGTAAGGGGGTGAGATGGGAGGAAGGAGGAGGGGGGGGGAAGGGAGGAGGAAGAGTAAGCAAAGAAATGGGCCGATTCTTACCCCTCCTTTCGGGCGACAGACAACTGGTCATCGTCGCTGCATTATTTATCCCGGCGTCCGTTCGTGTCGGGTTCAGGGCTACAGTTTAGGGTTCGTTTATCCTCATTTCGGGTCTTTTACAGGTCCGCGCGGCCCCTGCCTTCCCAGCATGTTCGTGACGCCGAAGTATTACCAACTTGAACAAATGGCAATTTTTGTTGTGTTTTTTCTCCCTCCTTTTTTTCTGTCTCTCTCTCTCTCTCTTTCCTTTTATCGCCCGAGGGCTTCCAAGCCAGGAAGGGTGAGGAATTGAATGTCCATATCGAGTGTCATCTATGATTCACCAATTGATATCAAAGCCATCGAGACAGACTGGAGAAGCCAAGCATGTTTCGCTGAACGTGCAGCTCAGATTTACACACACACACACACACACACACACACACACACACACACACACACACACACACACACACACACACACACACACACACACACACACACACACACACACACACACACAGCGTATTATCCCTTGCCTCCTCCCGTCCTGAGCCCCCGGGACATACGCCCGTGTAGCCCGGAGACGCTGAGAGAGTTTGCGGGTACTAAAGCAATTGTCACAAATTGGCCGACACACGCAAGTATTTATTATTCACGAGCAATAAATGTATAGCTGTCTTATATCAACATTGCGCTGAATACTCGATTACACTTCTGCCGAAAGGTAATCATATGTCGCCGGCGAGGGGCGTGTGTGCGTGCATGTGCAAGTGCCTGTGTTTTGTGTGTTTATCTGTAGTGGTGAACTTGTTGGTCCGGTGATAAATTGACTTTTCATTGCATGTCTATCTTTCCTTTTCCCTATTTTCTATTTGAGTAGGAGAAGACGGTGGCAGTTGAGGAACACTATCTAATAGCAACGCAGTAATGAGCACAATCTGTACATTCCTCATAACTGCCGGAGCAAGGAATGGCCACTGCATAACTCAGTAACATCCATTGCACAATATCGATAAGCTACTAGGGACACGTAGTTTATTCATGCCGTAAGTACCTCGACGTAATACTTACATCATAGAGCGCACTTACTTTCGGGCTTCCCAGATTTTTTTTTCAGGGCATTATCACACTAACTTATCGCGTGAAGGGCGAAGTGTTAATTTTTACCAAAAAGATTCACCGAATAAGCATTTCCTTTGGTATGTTGAATTTCTGATTTCGTTGATTTTATCGGCGCTTGATCAAGTGTCCTATTTACACACACACACGGATCAAACAATAGTGGGTGTATTCTGTGCTTTGTGTATCTAACGGTACCGTATTGTATCAACAAATATGACATCTGCTTCATCGTTTTATATATCAACAAACAAGCGATAAAAAAATTGATATACAAAGCCCGTAAAGATTACCAAGCACTTCCGATCTATATATAACACGAAATGAAATTCGTAGAATT